AGCCAGGGCCAAATTATCAGTGCTCTTATGGAAAAATGTAGTTTTTTGCTAATTAGCAAACATGCAAAAAACTTTTTAGATTTCAAATTTAACTAGAAAATTCCTAAAGAAATTTTGATTGTGCCTTGCTCTGGCCCATATGTTAATACCATGTCATTCTCTTTAGCTAGAGCTAGCACACATAAACACATTAACCAAACTGAGCTATGTGCTAATCGCTAGCTAAGTGCTAGCTTTGGTTAATGTGTTTAATTGTATTATGCTCCTGAAGGAGTGCTAATGTAAATTAAGGAACAGCTCATAGTAGGGTAAAATATTTAAGGTGTATTGTACTTATTTTGTGTTAATATTAAAATTATTCAGCTTTAAATTGTTTGCTTGTTAGCCACCTTCTAATTATCTTTAGCTAGCCAGCCAGCTAGCGCTAGCTTATTAATGCCTTGTCAGCCTCTGTAGCTAGCTGTTTGTGTGTGTGTGTGTGGGAGAGAGAGGCAGGCTTTGGTTGTCGTGGCAATCAGGGGAGGCCACAGCAGCTGCGCGCGCTCTCTCTCTGTCTCTAACTCCAGAAACATTTAAAATGAATCCCCTCGAACCCATGGCCAGGAACGACCGAAATGAAAACCGAAAAGACCGTGAGCGTCGTCTTGTTGACTATAGCACTGCCGAGTTTCAGTGGTTAAAGTTAAAAAATGTGACCTGGGGAGATTGAGAGAGAAGAGGTTCAACGAGCTCCTTTAAACATTTCTCCTCTATATTTAACATGGGAGTAGATGGGGCCATGAGAGGGTGTTAATGGCGCATCAGTGCGTCTCCCGCCAAAACTATTTGTCTGACAGCTTCGGCAGTGGTATCACTGCGACCCCAACGAATTTACCTACGTTTCGATTTACAAATTATTTCTGTAGAGTGATATTTGTGGCCTTGAGAGCAGTTTACAAATTTATTTTTCGACAATTTTTTCTCTCTCCCCACACTCTAGCGATAATGTCACGCACTCTGGCAGTTGAAGATTCTCGCAATACACACCCATTCATTTTTTGGACCGGTTTTTGGCGATTTATCGGCAAACCGTTTGGCGAAACGCTTAGAAAAGTCATAGCACACCATTCCCGGCCGAGCCGCACGTTTTGATACCTTTTTTGTGTATGTGCGACAAAAACTGCGGGAGGAGTAGCACGCCGAAAAACGTACGGAAGAATAATAATAAGTATGGGGAATAGTAGTATTGTGCTTGCTTATGCAAGGCACAATAATAAACAAACTTGTCTGTAGAATTAACCATGAAGATACTGTGTGCATTATGAACAGTCCTAAATGATGTCCAAAAGCACCTGTTTGCTACCAAGGACAGTGTATTTACTTTCCAACATTTTCTTGATACATAAATAGTGTCCACAGCATTTTCACTACTTTTAGCTAAAAATCACACAATGCTATGGTTTTACTTTGATATTTTTGAAAATTTGGTTACACAACACGACACAACACACATGTGAGCAATGGAAAGGATTTTTCAAATTGTTCAGACAGTAATTACGAGCAGAGTCGTTAATTCTGATACGGAGATATTGAGAATTTTTGACAGAAGCTTTTCCTGTTCTTCCCATTGCGTAAATGCAACAACAGCATCAGTCTTTGACATCATTTTCCATTAGCATGCTGCTTTTTAGCTGGACTAGACCTTTTGATGGAATTTCTAATGAGGTGGCTGACTCCACTTTTAAAATGTGACTACAGGCCACCGTACCTGAAGCATGAGAGTTTGGGTGGTGTCAAAGATTTGTGTAGGTGGTAGAGTTGTGTCAGTGTCAGAGTTTGTACTGAACACCAGAAGAGACCATATAGACCACACCATATTTAGGGATACAATTCACCATATTGGGTTCAGAATATTATTTTGTGACAATTTCTTTTTTTATATACAAAATTCAATTGAAGACAAATTGAGTCCTTTTATTTCTCTGACAAAAATTTACAAAATATATTTTCTTTATAAAATTATAGAATCCTTTTTTTTTATCTGAGCTAGGTAATAAACTGTGCTGTTACTGTTGTTTACAGGTGTATTTTATAGAACCTTGTTGACTATCAATATTTCAGCATCATTTATAGTTTGGTGTATGTTGAGGTTTCTTGAAGCGAGATTGCACCAATCAATACTACTGTTATTCTGTGTACTTACATGCAATCAAAGATGACCTCCGTCCTGCAGATGTGTGGAAAAGTATTCATTTGAGTCATTAAATAAAATGCTTTAAGAACATTTCTCATCATCTCATTGTCTTTCCATCACTCCAGGGAGAACACCATCACACACAATTTTAACACATACTTTTTCTTAAGATTCTACCTAAAAGAAAAGTTTGATGTAGAGTTTCATTACAAAATGATACATCTCCACACTTGCAATACAAACTTAGCCTCTCATTGATGGTTCAAATGTATCTAATCTCACCTTTATGAAGTTGGTTATTTTGTAAGAACACTCGACATGTTTTCCACACAGTACATCAGTAAATGTGTCATTTTTAATTGGAACAGTATACAGCTTCATACCATTGTTGTCAAGTGGAAATTTCTTCCTAAATTGTCAGATTTGAGAAAGTTAGAAAACAGCCTGGTTTTGAGCTCAATAATGTGTTTTTAATAAATAAATTGGGTTTTGAGAGCGATTAATTAAACCATTAACCCATAGAGGAGCATAACTGAACAATTCAAAATGTTACAGGAGTTACAGGATTTTACATCACAGCACATGAGAGTTGTGAAAAATATGTCCATGAATTTTGAATGTTACATCACGTCAATGGATTCATTCTAACACCCCACTGCTGCTCTTCCAGGCTCACACCCAAATCCTCAAACCGGCAGGAAAAAAAAAATGCAGCAAACAATCAACCCTCACTAGACAGTTGTCCTCAAAGTTGCACACTAACCAGTTGATTGAGATGAGGCCATTTGCGGACGACAACCTCAGATAGAAGTGGCGAATCAATGCCTGTTTGTCCACTTCTTTGCTCATTAAGGAACCTCTATTCACGTCAGGGCCTGTATACGACAAAGAAAGCTCACAAGTGCACATTTTCAGTCCGAGGAGGGTGGTTTTTCCTCCTCCTCAAAGCCCTCCCCTCATCGAAATTCGCCTCACAGAATCGCTGTGCCAGAGGCTAGAGTCTTGACAGGGGTAGCCCAGTGAGGGGGAAATCAAACGATTCCCTTTTTTACGGCCTGGCTGGCCAACTGGGGGGCCCGCTTACCTACCAGTCCTTTATCTGTATCACACCTTTCCAGTTCAGGAAGAAAGGAAAGGCAGCCGTACTGTCCATTCATCATCTTTAGTGATTCAGGGTTTTTGTCTGTTGCCTGTTGGATGCGAGTCCTTGGCTCCTCATAAATACTGGTAATACCTGAATTGTGCCGATTGATATCCTATCAGGCTTTTCAGTGGACTGGTCACATTCATCTTAATGTGTAGTTAATATTGAACAGGAAACAGACGGTGATGAATGTTGATACAATGGAATGAATACTGGCGTCAGATTCGGATATACTGCGCAGTAATGCAAGCTGAGCCCACTGTAAGGCCTATTTAAACACAAAAAAAAGTACATTTCTCAATAGAGACCAATTTGTCAGAGCAGTTTGAGAGTTTTTCTCAAAATCAAAATGTAATGACAACCCAATTGCCTTCATAAGCCGAGTTGACAAGGAAAGAATATCTAATTTAGCTGTAATGTACCATGAAGCACTTTGTGTTGAAAATGATGGTTTGTGGAAGGTCACACATCGCACCTGTACATTATTAAATGGGATTTGGTTGGTCTGCCTAGTTTTAGTACTTTTATATTATTCCACAATATTGATCATTTCTTCTAAATTCCCGTAAAGTACACTTCTGTAACCCCTGGATCTTCAAAATGATTGTTGTTTTGTGTACACACAGTCACAACAACTCTATTTATTCTCAGATTAGTCAACTCAAGTTGGGCAATCTATCTTGTTTCCAAAGCATTTTTTCACTTTACCTATTTTCAACAGCAATATTAGTTTATTGAAAAGAGGCAGAATGGGGTCAGCTAACAAACTGATGCCTATGTGCCAAAGAGGGGAACTGTGTAATTTATTTATGTCCTATGATTATTAATTATTTGGTGGTCCGGATATTAGAAGGGTTGATCGCTCATGCTCACACAATATCCGTCCATTTGCTGTTCTTAATACAGTAATAACGAGCTAATGGAGAAATCTGTTTTTATTGTCTCGTGATCACAAAAGAATTGCGTAATTCTGCATCCATATTTTTTTCATGATCACCAGAAAAGAAAACAGAAACATGTGCACATTTTCTCCCTCATGTCCTGTGTGGCCTTCTATAGATGTTCTTTTTGGTGTGTTGCCACATATTTCACTCCTTTTTATATGCAATAATAATAAGCCCTGACTCAAGCGACTTGTCACGCTGGTTGAGAGTATTTTTTACTGAGCATTTCAGACCTTTTTCTGTGATTTCCATTGGGCGGCAGTGCGTCTGTTCTCAAACTTGAGCTGCACTGCATTGCCTGCCTTGCCCGTGCACTCTGTTCCGCACTCTCTGCTCTCCGGCAGAGCCAGTTAAAGTAATTCCCACACTGCGGCTTTATTTCTAGAAACAGGCGGCTAAGAAGGATGATTTCCTCATGTGCGTTTGTTGGGAAGGTTTTAGGGGATGAAGACTCCAGAGGAACGCGGGTCTAGAAGCGTTCACACCGGCATCACTGTCAAGTCAGACAGAATAAGGAAACCACGCGTCTGATGTGTTCTTCAAAATAAAACCCATCCAGGAAGATACATCTGTATTGAGGACACATTATGATTTGATGATAAATGGTGTGCTTTTATTTTGATGGCAAATCCTCTCATGTCCTGTGCGGTCTTGGTCTACTTGTGCGCACTTTACGCATTTCGCGTTGACACTCGGATAGAGAGAGAGATAGGGGGAGAGAGAGAGAGAGAGAAGAGAGAGAGACAGCGTCCGATGTGTCTTTTTTCTGCACATCACTTTGGAAATTTGCGCTCGTGTAGTCCTGCTTCGCGGTACTCACCTGCCGGGGCTGTGTGGCTGTGAGCGGCTGACAACTGATTTAATAGGATAATCAGACTAATTGCCTCCTCTCATATAGCCCTTCATTGATTCTGTCGACCATTCCCCTAATGACTGTCATGATTTTCTTCATTTTCTTCTGTCCTGTTGTTTCAAAGTGACCGGCTGCAGGTGTTTTTGTGCTCTGATTTGCGCCAGTCCAGGCTGGCAATATGTAATTTTGGGATAGACGCTGCGGTTTTTATTTTTGGAGAAGTGGACTATTTCACAGCTGGGATTCCTTGTTTTTTTTTAAAAAACCCTTACTGCTTTACTCTGTAGACCAGAACAGATTCTGATACACCGTGATGGTGTGGGGCTATCAGAACTGACAGCAGAGTGCACGCTATCATTTGGAAACTGCTTGTGGGTAAGTTACATCTATTTTCCATCTTAGCGAGTCCAAAGTTGGTCAGATGCCCCCGCTGCCTTCGGTGGAAATGTTTAAACCAGTTTGTTTGCACCAGCGATTAATCTGGATGACGCTGACATTTCATATGCACAGATTTGCATCACTTGTCGACGCGCTCTAACAAACGGATTCATAATCTCCTAATATGCGGCACTTAAATGCGCATTTGGAAGGAGCATGTTTTCCTTTCAGTTACATGAGAATCCCAGTCGCTCTTTTTTTTGCTTTAGTTTTGCGGACGGAGCCTCCTCAGTGGAAGTGTCCACGGCTGCAATACGACAGTGAAGCGGACCGCTGAAGTCTCCTGTATTCTTTAGTAAGAACCTAATTATCCGATCAGAGCGATTACAGTGTGTCAGTGGACACGAGCTGTTCATTTTACGCATTCTTTTTCCCCCCCTCGACGTTAATTGTGTAACACTGCGCGCATTTGCATGTCGCTCCGGTGCGTCAGCAGCGTGTGTTTGTGTTGTGTTGTGTGTGTGTGTGTGTGTGTGTGTGTGTGTGTGTGTGTGTGTGTGTGTGTGTGTGCGCGCGCCTGTGGAAGTGCAAGTGCGTGCCCGTGTTGGTGGGTGTATGCGAATTTGCGCACATGTGCGTGTCGCTCTGTGCACGCACCCAAAAGCGCGCGTGTGTGCCAGAGGAGGGAGGCGAGAAGAACCCGGGCTTAGTTATTTCAAATTATTTCTGCTGAGTGATTGCTTGGCGAGTCAGCTCTCTCTGTGCCTCTCCTCAGTATCTGCGAGTATTTCCTCTCCTCTCCCCTGCTTCCCTCCCCTGCTTGGATGGATGATGGCCTATGATTGTCCAGATGGATGTTAGAGTCCACTCTGGCTGGGACCAGACTGAGGATGGCCCGGCTCAACATATATGGGAATTAGGAAGTGATACTGATGTAAAGTTAGAGGAGATGCTCGCTTAAAGAAAAGGAGAAAAAAAACGTCCTTCTCCCCTCTTCACTGATGACAAATGAGTTACAGAAGGTGCTGTAGCCTTGCAAGTTGCATATCCCCATTTTATCATGAAACAACTGCTGCAGAGATGCTTCTTGTGTTTTTGTAAATCTCTGACAAACTATAACCCTCTCCCAGGCCGAGGCCTACAGTTTAAGCCTAAAGCATCTCATCACTCGCAAATGATTTTCAAATTGTGTCAACAGTAACATTTGCTCAACTGCTCCATCATCAACTCGCATCATGCCCTGCTCTAAATCTTTCCACTCCAATTCCTTCTTGACACTTTCTGCTTTAGGTGCTCTGATCTTCTTGCTTTATGATGTTATTTTTTAACTTCTTTATTCATCTCCAACATATGGGGTTAAGCTTGGCTACAGGAGCAACCAGCGGCACAATGAATTAATAGGTAAGTGGCAGTGGCCACTTAACGGAAGCCCTGCAGCTACATATTGAGCTGAGTCGAGTGCTCTCACACAGAAATTGATTTAGACAGAGATTATGTCATACAGCATTGGCACTTTTTTATGCTGGTCAAGTTTACCCAGCAGCATTGAATTCCTCCTCTGCTCCCTGATGATTTAAGTAGAGGTTTAAAGGGCATGTTAATGCCTCAATAAAGTCGTGGTTTCGTTGGCAAGTTTGTATTAAATATAATATTAAATACTTTTAATAGTAATTTTCTCAGTCATTTTACAATATTTGCAACTTGTGGTGTTAAACACATGCATGAGTGTCATAAAATGTATTTGACTTTCAGAAACTTATCAGCAATAATTGACATGTAATCTTATTTTTATGTGGCGAATCCCACTCGTCTTGGAGAAAAAAATACACTCAAACTGCCATGACAAGCACTTGCAAATATTACCTGACCCCGTTCATCTTACAATTCTCTCTCACTGGTAAACAGAAGGATGTGAAGACATCACAAGCTTTTTCTCGTGATTGATACTTTTAATTTTCAAAGAGCTGTCACCAAGGCCTATTGGCCTTGGCTTTGCAATCAAGGGGCAGGCAGTCAAAGGCATTCAAATGAAAGAGTTCATTAATATGGTGGGAAATAAGGGTTGTCTCGCCATGGAATATTGGCTCTGTGTGAGGAGTGATTGGAGCAATTGATGAGGATTTGTGAGGAAGAATGTTGGCGAGGAAGTTGATAGGGGGCCACCTTAATCATGGCTATTAGATTACATTAATAAGACTCAAGAGGAAATGGAAATACTGAGAGGTGATCCAGCTTGTGTGTTTATGTTATGTATGTGTGACCAAGTGCGTGTGTGCAAATATCGTACTTTAGCTCGAGCACCTTCCATTCCCACTCGGCACGGCTGTGCAGATGTATTGACTGTTGTGAAATCTGAGTATTAGAAGCTGTGGACTACATGCATAACAGACGCGCTCTCAGTTAAATCTTTTGAAAATCCAATTCCCGTGAAGATGAGATTCCTCTTTCCCCGTACCTTGTTTCATTCTCCATCGCAATCATTGGGCATCGATCTGATTCAAAGCTATTTATTTTTGTTGCAGCCATCATGTCATGAATTGACAAGTATAGTAGATCTGGTAGATTACAATATGTCTGGGCATGTCGCCTCACCCATACAAAAAAGAATCATGACGACCAAGGATGAATATCAAAATTCCCATCTATCCAAGCTATCTCAGGCTTTAGTTACAAAATATTTTCATGTGTAATGTTACATTCATTGTTTTAGATTAGCTAAGATGTCAGATTATAGTAGGACATTTACGGCTCATGGCCTTTTTGGCTTGTGAACCCTTTAAAAAGAAGCAGTGCCTATTTGTGTCCCCATCACAGTTGCAGCCAAGATGTCTCACACAATTTTTAGAGTCCTGACAGGGTAAAACTGTAGTATTTCACAAGAAAAATAAATGTAATTCTGGGTAGCAGGATTATGTTCTAGTCTTTCCTATCATGTTGGGGAAAAAGCTTTCTCTTACTTTGCTCCTCAGAATTGGAATAATTTGCATAGCATCCTGCATCTTAATAATCTAGTCTCATTGGAAAAATGTAAGGCCATGTTATAACTCCATGTAACTGAGAAATGCAACTGCCTTATTTGAGCTGGTTTTAGGCCTTTCCTTGTGTGTGTGATGTCTGTTTTCACTGTCAGTTGTTTTTATTTGTATTTGATACAGACTTATCTTGTGACCCGTTGGGGCTACTGACCTAAGGTTGTTAAAGAATAGAGCAAAATTGTTGACAAAAAAAGAACGAAATATATTCAAATTAATAACCATATCAATCAAGAAATATAATAGCATTAGAGTTCATTTCTTGAGACTTTATAAAGGCATCAGGGTAAATATGTATGTTGTATGATTTAGTGCTAGAACAATTAGTTGATTAATGGAATCATTAATCAGCTATAATTTAATTTTCTAAATGTAAAGTTAGCATTGAGTGTTTAGAGTCAAGCAAGAAGGCCCAAATGTTCCAGCTTCTCAAATCTGAGGATTTGTTAATGATTCTCTTTGTGTTTTGGACTGTTGGTCAGACACAATTAATTCGAGGACATCACCATGGGTTCTCAGAAGTAGTGATGAGCATTGTTCATAGTTTTTTTTACTTTTATAATAATGAAAATAACCATTAATTGTGGCCTAATTACTTTTATTGGGATCACATTCACTTTCACCAGTGGTACATTTTGATCATTTATATGGATTATACTATGGGTGAATTTGTCTGCATATATATAGAATATATATCAGAATATAATATTACATATATCAAGATAGAGGTTTATCCATATCACCCTTCCCTAAATTATACCAATGGTATATATTCTGATATATTCACAGAATCTGTAAATATCTGCCTGGTGGACAGCAAGCTTTTACCCATTCTAATTCCCAGCAGTCCATAACAGATGTCATTATTTACAATTTTGCAACCGCAGTGTAGGTTATGTCAGGTCGGATCATTCCACAGAAGAGGCTTGCTTTGTTCTCAAATCTGTTTCCTGCAGAAAAAGGAAATCCAAGCCTTGTGTACCCTTCAGACGCCACAGAATCTATGACCACTCGCTGATGGGAAACTAGGTTGTATGGAAAAATAAATGGCCTTCAAAATTGGGCCCCCATTCACTTTGTGGCCCTTGAGCTTTCTGCGTGCCCTTCCCGGCTGTTGTTCAGTGGAGAGGTATCAAAAAGGATGGTCTTCCTTGCAAATCATTTTCGTGGGCCACTTATTTTTCAGACCTTGATCTGAATGCCTTCATGTATGGATGTGAACTGAGCTGAGTGTCTGCAGCTGCTATGCTAGCTTTATTTACTTTGTGCATGTAATGGCATTGCTATCCTAACAGAGTGACGCTTAATACTACAATAAAAGGATGATAATGGCATCACTCTAAACTCTCTTTACATTGCTCTTGAAAAAAAGCATGCGGGCTATTCAGTGTATGTATGTGTGTGTCTTTGGGGGAGACCAAAGCATTAAGACCAGAATCAAATGCAATTTAAAAGCGCTTTATTTTCCCATTTGTTACAGCAGAAAATAAAAGGACTCGAGGTCAGCCACAGTGTAGCGAGCCCCGGAGCTTAAAAGTTGCGCTGGTCAATTGTAACGCGGCTAAAATGAAGAATGAGGCGATGAAATACTCGTGTTGCACTTCCTCTGATGAAACAGCCATCTAAAGGCATGATCAATTACCTCAATATACTGTATTTTTCTTTGCTAGGGGCAAGTGACGTTTAAAATGAATTTTTCCCCTTTTTAATCAGCAGTAAAATGAGAAGCCCATTGCTATAAGCAAGAGGGCAGAATTATCATTTTCATCCTTTCTTCTCAGCCCCACTATCATTGTGCCATGTCTGGAGGTGATCCTCTGAGGCCCATCCAGCCCGGAAAGATGAAGTTGATGTGTTTTAGATAGCTTTTAGAGAGATGTGGATAGAGGATGGAAATTGCATGCCAGGGGAAGCAAAATGAGCAATTTTTCCTCCCATTTCCCCTCCTCTCTTCATCGGATCTGT